CACTGTGGTTTCTGCTGCGTCGCAGGCGCTACCTGTGCTGCGTTCAGGCGCACGGAGCGAGGGGTGCTCAGGGTCCAGCCCTGCTGGGACCAGCCAAAGGGCCAGGCGGATGGTCCGGAGTAACGGGGAGTAAACAGGAGCTCTCCGACACCGCCTCTAAAAATGCATTTGCTGGCAGGGCTCAAATGCAAGCAACTCTCCATTCGGAGAAACGTAATTGTCAGCAGTAGTTTGAGGATAAAGGGAAAGGACTAATGCAGTGTATTAGCTTGGGTTTGTCAAATGTAAAGGAAAAAAACATTCTTCTTAGTCCCATAAAAAAAAAATCTTTAAAAGTATGTTATCTTCTTAGTGGACAAGAATTAATACATGCTTAATACTAACCTAGGGCTGAAGGAGCGTGCTGAGCTGGGCTGAACGGGGCTTAACTGGAACAGGCTTTGAAAAACCACTGCTGGCTGCAGTGAGGAAGGGTTTCTAATGGGTGGCACATGACTGCAAACAACCAAGAGCAAAGAAATGAGTGACTGAAAACTTGAGATACAAGTCAGAATTTGCAGAGGCGATGAAATTACCGCACCTGAGTCAGGTGGGTGACAGAATTAGCGTGGAAAATATTATTAGCGTGAAAGGCGTTAATAGAGGATATGCAGAGAGGCTCTTCTCTCAGCACTTCTGCTCCCGAAGCAGAAGATCAAGTTGCTCATGTGCCTGTGAGGAGGAATATTGTCCTAATGCTGGGACCCTGGCCTTGCCGGTAGGACCATGGAAGCAGCATCCCGCGTCATCCCGTCCCACCCCACGCACGGTGCCAACCCCGGCTCCCCCGCAGGGAGGACGGTGCTCGTCCCTCGCTGTAAACCTTTTCTCAAGGTCTCTAGGAATGTTTCTTCCTCTGCTCCTTTTAATGAACGGTAATAAAGGAGACTTGATTAGAAGCCTTTCATCATTTTAGGACTAGGGGCTTTAGCTTTCTGACCTACTTTCTTTGCCAATGAAATTCCATTTTTAGCTGCAACTCAAGGTCTGAATGTTACCCAAATTCAGACCATCTGTTTTAACAGCCTACAGGCTGAGAAGTTGATCCAAGCCAGGAGGAATAAATGGAACCAGTGTGTGCATATATTAGGCATTCTCAGCCCTCAGTGTATAAAATAACTTACTCACTTTATTTCTGAGTCTACATAAACATTCCCGTTTCTTTAGGCAGCGCGTGCTGTTATTTTAAGCCATATTTATGGTACCAGTTGCTACCAGAGGCCTCCGGTTTGGCCACCCCTCCAGCAGGGGCGCGGGGGGGACGCGGCGGCCGCGGAGCCGGCCCTGCCGACGCGGCACCGCGGGGACAACCTCCTGCTCCGGGATCCGTGAGGGAGGCAGGGGCCTCCGCGCCTGCCCCGAGCCGCGTGCCACACGGCCTCCCCCGGCCCAGGCTTCCCGTGTATTTTAATAGGCGACCTAACACCAAGCTTCATTACAGACTGGAATTGCTCAGTCTGTCTTTGCAAAATTCTTCCAAAAATCTACTGCATTTTCAACATAACATGCCAGTGCTGCCTACTCAATCCCCACAACACTCGTCTGGGACACCTATGAAAATACCTTGATCTCTCTAACAGACATGGGAAAACTAGACAGAAAGTGGAGCAGTCTTCCCCGAGGCCCCAAAACCATCTTGGACAGATTCCTCCAAATCGAGGAATGCTCCATCCTTAATTCCAGAGCCTCTGTTCAGTCCACTGGTGTCATTTCCTCGGGAGCTCCAGACCTCCCTCTGCCTTCCCAGGCGCCCGAAATAAAACAAATGACCCGTGGGAGCCTGGAGGCCGCAGCCGAGGACGGCGCCGGCGCGGGGGGCTCCCGAGCCAGCGCGGCCGCGGGCACCGGCAGAACCGACCCCGCAGCCCCCTCGCCCGGCCCGGCCACGAGCAGGATCTGCCCCTGTTTGCACCGCGCTGTTGGAAGGGACATTCCAAGCACCGTTAGCCCGGTTACACCCGCCCCGTCCCAACCGGACAGGGGGACACGAGCTCCCCTGAGCTCTCATGGGCACCGCGCGCAGCCGAAACGCTCGGGATGAGTTTCAGACTTTTCTTTGTGCAAATCAAAACATTGCCCAGTGATTTACTGTGGTATAAGAAGGGACGTCTTGCACCTGGAAAGCTACGTGCTAATTCCATCCTTTAGTCTGTCTCTTTCAACAAAGGGCTTTCAAAATCATATGCCATCGTACCCTGCGCAATGTTGTTATTCTGTCGTTATTGTCCTAGCAGCAGAAGCTTAAAGGCTGGAGGGAATCTTCTTCTGAGTCCCCTGCACGGAGCAAAAGGTTAGGGAGATAAAGACTCTCCAAGAGCTGTTAATGCAGGGAGAGGCAGTAACACAGAACCATCGGAAGTCACGTTGTTTGTGTTTCCTTCCTCCCTTAGATAGCGCAGATTTAATGCGAAAACCATGAGGTTTGGGGCACCACTAGGCAGGAAACGTCCCCCCAATTCGGAAATGGAGCCGCCTGGGGAAGGGGCCGGCCCTTAGGAACGCTGCGATCCGAGAGCTCTTCCCTGCTCCGGGCAGGGAGCGGAGCGGCTCCGCACGCAGGATCCCGTGCAGGGCTCCGGGGATAATCCCCCTTCATCCCGGGGATTTAGTGCCCTCGGGCTCGCTCTGGGACAGGGATCGGGGCTGGGCCTGGCCGAGACGCCCACGGGTCCTCGCTCTGCCCTGGTCCTGTCAGTCGCTACGCGGGGATAGGATGCTGCGCCATTCCCAGGAAACCCATGGGGTCCTTAGCCATAAGAAAGGCGCCGCGATGAGATACGAGTTCATCCGTTACCTCCTCTGCACCCCGATGGAGATGACAGGAGCACGATAATGACGATTGATGACCCTTGATGTCCCCAGGCCCGTGGAGAGGCCGCTGGAGAAGATCCGCCGCCGCCAGCCCTTCCCGATCCATAGGGATCCCGGCAGCCCCAGCTCCCTCATCCCCATCCGGGAGACGGGGCGAGGGGAAGGGCTCCCGCGGGATCTGCAGCAGGAGCCCTCGGAGCGGCTCCTCGGCCTCACCAAGCGCCTGTGCTGACAGCGGGAGCAAAACAACAGCACTGCTATTACTGTACAAAACAACAGCACTGCTATTACTGTACAAAACAACAGCACTACTATTGCTGTACAGAACAACAGCACTACTATTGCTGTACAGAACAACAGCACTACTATTACTGTAACGGTGCGGAGTAACAGCCGCTAACCAGGGTAGAGACACCCGAACACCTTTGTAGCCAAAAGAACGGAAAAGTCCTCAGGCAAGTTCCAGAACAGTTAAATTCTACACTCCCAGCCTTTCCACGGTGGGAATGACTACGGAAGGGCAAATCCCTTTTTTCTTTGTATCTGGCGTGTTTCTTCCGGGCTTTGCACGAACTTTAGATTATTCGCACGGTGGCCAAGAGTTGCAGTGCCAGCTGAGGAAAGGGACACATACCTAGAAGAGACCCAGAACTCTAGAAACACAAATGAATTGTTCTTTTCAGGACTGAATCATCTAAAACAGGTTCAAGTTTCAATGAAGTGTAGCTGGATTTTGCTCTGATCCAGAAGTTAGGACTTTTCACATATCGTTACATTAATGTTCAGCCCTTGTGTGCTAAGGGACATTCCGAGCTGGGACATTCCGAGGGGCCGAGCGCTCGCCTGGCAGACCGAGGATTCCGCAGGTGGTGATGTTACAAAAAACCCAAACAACTGGAAAAATGAAAATGCCAAAGAAAAGCTGCCGCCTAGCCTGAAATGGAGCCTTTCCTGGGACACGATTGAGCGTGATAGCCCAGAGAAAACCTCACCGTAATCTTTTATCCAGTTATGTGCCCATAACATCTAGCCCCTTGCCTGGTAGGGAAGCGCGTGAAAGACTCTCCAGAGGAAGCTGCTCTGGGTAATGTGCAGGAGTTATGTTTCTATTCGGAAATCCTCACACCAGTGAGTTCTTGGATATGGGAATGAAGTTGAGCCGATTAGAGAGGCGCTTGGCAATGTTTGACTTTACCCTTGGCTGGAACACGCACTCAGCTCGACGCTGCTCCCATGACTGTTCTGTTTGTCGCGCGCAGGCACCAAAGCTAAAAATAAACCCCAACTGTAAATCATTTTAATCTTCAATATTTGCTCATTAAACACAAGAATATCCCAGAGAAGAGCACAGAAACTCCAAGTACCACCTGGCAATAGCTAGAGGCCTCTCAGATTTAAGTACCCTGCACAAGGGACTGCCCTAGGTCCAGACTTTGGCATCGTTTCTCCGTGTGTTGCAGAAATCCGG